AAAAGAGATAAGAGAACAAGAAAGTAGGGGGGAGGGGAAGAGGAGAGAAAAAGAATGAGAGGGAGAGAAATTTAATGCTTTTTAGGGTCCCTGTGTCAAGGCGACCCTGCAGCCACCTAGCGGCTGTGAGCTCAGGGCAGCTGCAAGCTCAGTTTTAAACTGACACCAAAAGTGTTTTTTTCCTTCCTCTGCCAACCGCCAGCCATGCCTGGCTTTCACCAGGCCACTGCCTCAGGGTGCAGTATTTGCATCCAAAACATGACTCAAAAAAGCCTTCTGCCTGCCTTTACTACAAGTGGCCTGTTAGCACAGTAGTTAAGGTATAGGGCCTGCAACTGCAAGGCTACTGGTTCAAATCCTCAGTGGAGCCAGCCTTAAATTTACAAGGAAGCCTCTTGGGAAAATTCAAAAGCTAAAAGCTGTAAAACTTTGTCTTGCTTAAAATTGACACTCTACAGCAAAACTTTTCTATCTAAATTGGCTTAAAACAGGAAGAAAGCATAGTTAAAACTGGTATCAGGACCCTGAGAAAAACCAAATGGTGTCATCTAGCTCCTGACCCTGCACCCCTCCAATGCATGACAGCCAATTTCAAAGTGGGGTTTTCAGGACAATATGGGGGGGGGGGAAAAAAAAAACGGAAAAACTCCGCATATTGTATAAGCTAAAATGGCCATCATTTGGAGTGGGGTAGCCAGACACGAGAACCTATAATCCAAACGCTAATACCCATACATTGATCAGTGGCTGGATCTGGTCCAACACCCCCCACCATGGTTAATCAAATGCATACAAAGGGCCGTGGGGAACCATGAGTTGCCCCTACCTTACCCTAGGCCTTCTCGACAAGAACTTTAACACCCGACCCTGGACAGCACCAGTGGCCAGCCCTTGTCCCCACTGCATACCTGCAGCAGGGCCCCACACCCACCCAGGGTTCCCCTCTGAGAGGCACCCCTGATGGAAGGCAGTAGCTGGGGTCACCCATTCTTTGTCCACATCCCCGTTTCCTCAAGTAACTTGTACAATTAAAAGGCTCAGCACCCTCTGTTCTCTATAAAGGCTCAGGCACTCACAGGACTCCTGAAGTCTGTTCTGCAGACTCACCACCCCACTTGGGATGACTGTCAGCAGTTATTTCTCATTCTGTTTACCACCGAAGAGAAAAGCAGAATTAAACAGGAGGCCCTTAAGGCTATTATAGGTCCAGTGGAAGGTACGATAAAGGAAAACCGGGACCAGATTAAAGACATTTTCCCTTCTACCTAACCCCAATGGGACCGCAACACCTCAGAGGGTCACCAGGCTCTAAACACTGTTCACCAGTATCTTTCAGCAGGGGTTAAGGGGGGCGGTTAAAAGGCCCATACCCAGGCCCATCCTAATATGTGGGTAACACTCCCCATGGGCACTGAGGAAAACTGTCCAGACCCCAGGCACAACCAGTGCCTAAACATCTTAGTTTATAGTAATATTACTCAGCTGTTTCCTTTATATAACCCTGCATGTAGTCGAAGCTATACTAACACGTCTAGTACTAATTGATATAGTAGCTTATAGTAGAAGGAATGCCTAAAGCAGAGCAAAATACATGGAAAAACAGCCAGACTATGACAAAAATCAAAAATCTAGGTGATGGTGTCCCTGCCTAAACGGGCATATGCTGTATGGCAGGCTTGAAGCAAGTGCCTCTCCTAATAAGAGTTGTAGTACTTTGCATCCAGTTCCTGTGGAAAGTAGGCCTCAGGCCTAAGATCTGGAAGTAACCAAGAGGGGGGAAAAAACCCTCTGGTGTAACCAGTTACAGGGGCTGTACACCCTGTCTTTTCTCACTTCTGTGCTAGCTCAAAAAATCCTCCCATAAATACCTTCTAAAAAGCACAAGTCTGTCAGCTCCCATTAAAGCTTACAACATCCTTCTTTAAAATCTCCAGCCCCCTACTGTGCATGGCCCACCTCCCTGCCTGGGTAACATATAGGGTGGCCCTCTCACTTGTAATTCTACCAGCCCCAATTCTGTCCCCCTAGAATGGTAAATTCTGCCAGACACAAGGATTGTCCCCGAGACTTGAGGACGGGCCCTAGTTAGGGACACACACCAAAACACACTTAGGACAAAAAAACTAAGCTGCTGAGGGCCAGGTACCACATTCCACATCTACACAAATTTGTCAGGAAAACCACAACTCAATGCGATGTATGTGCCAGGGTAAATCCAGGAGGCAATAGGTTTAATCGGGCAGGAATAAAACTTAGGGGAACTAGCCCTGGAGAGCACTGGGAAATTTCGCTGGAGTAAAGCCCCTGGTAAGCAGCTACAAATGCCTTCTTATATTTGTAAACACATACTCCAAATGGGTCAAGCCCTTCCCCTAGGTCTAAGACCGCTTTAGTGATTGCAAAAAACTATTACAGGATCTGGTCCCTCGGTTTAGCTTGCCCCTAACTCTAAAATAATAGCCCCGCATTTACAGCACAAGTGTCTCAGGGCCTGGCCAAAGCCCTGGGCATATCGTAAAAACTACACTGCCTATCGCCCACAGAATTCGGGGCAGGTTGAAAAAATAGACCATAAAAAAAAAGTTCATCCTAAAAACTGGTGTTTTTTTTGTTTGTTTGTTTTTTGTTTTTAAAAAAACTGGGTCAGCCGGCTTTTGTCCTCGTCCGTGTCCAATGCACCCCCTACCAAAAAGGTTTCTCCCCCTATAAAATCATGTTTGGCAAACCTCCTCCCTTACTCCGCAAACCCACGGACACAGTGCAGGCTAAAGTCCATAACCATGCTCTCCTTAAGTCGTTACAGGCATTCCAGTCTGTTCAATCCCAAGTGCACCAGCTCATCAGACGCTCAAACCCATACCAGTAAACCTCGAAGACCAGCTAGCACATTCCTTCCAGCCTAAAAACTGTCCTTGCTAAATTTCAGTCTAACTCCCCATTAAAAGGGACCCTAGAGTTATCCTAACCACTCCCACTGCACTTAAGGTAAACGGACTGACGGCCTAGATTCATCACACCCAAGTCAAGACTGCCCCATCAGAAAAAGTGTCAACCACTCATCACTAAATTAGCTAAAGCTGAAACTTTTATGCTCTTCACAATCACCTCTCTTACCTCCCTAACCCTGGCTCTAAGCCCCCATGGCAAACCCCCACTAAAGCCCACCTATCAATTTTTACTGTGGGCTCCACAGGAGAGTATGTTCCCTAATAAAACAAATCCCCTCTTATCAACATAACCCTTAAGTACACCCCAAAAAACCCCTTTGTCTTCACCTTAAAACTGTGCCCTCCTGGGCCCGTTCCTGACCCCAAACATAAATCCTAGGACAAAAAATATAGCCGGGTGTGGCAGTGCAAGGGCAGAGCAACAACTTCAAACTTACAGATTATATCTGTGTCCGGGGTCCACCCCACAAAAGTAAAAGTAAAAATGTAAGTTCCTTTGTCCCCACTGGGGTTATAAAACTATCTCTACCATATCAAAATATATCAAAAACAAAAACTCATCTCTTTTCAGCGGGTTGTCTTCCCCCATGCCAGTGCCCTGCCGGGTCCTGTAACCCAGTCAAAAATAACTACCCCAAATAGTAAATGGACAACAGGGCAAACTTGGGGGCTCAGGGTATATACGGATGGGTAAAATAGTCAGGTAAACTCCCTAGCCAAAATGGTACTCCAAAATAGACGGGGGCTGAACTTACTGTTCATAAAACAAGGTGGGGGGGGGGGCTCTGTGCAGCTCTCAATAAGCAATGCTGTTTTTACGCTAATAAATCTGGACTTAACTGAAACAGCCTTACCCTAATTAGGCAAAATCTAAAACCCAAAAAACACCTCCAAAAAGCTTCTAAAAGTTGGTATCAAAAAATGTTCTTGGTTCCCCTGGCTTACCTCCCCCACTCACTTGATTGGCAGAACCCCTAACCCTACACATATTAAAATTAATGTTTAGCCCTTGCCTTTTTAAATCAGCTACTCAAAATCCAGACAAAAATCAATTCTGTAAAGTTAATGGTCTTAAAAATCCCAGTATGGGCCCTTGAGCCAGACTAACCAAACAGTCTTAATTAGGGAATCAATGTAATTCATGTACAAAACGGGGGGAATAAGGGGCTAAAACAGAAGCCTAAGCATTGCCATCTTACAGAGAAGCCACCTGGGCCCTGGGCAGAGGTGTAGTTCTTAGAACTGTTAGTGTACTGCAATTCTCAAGTGTTATTTTCTAAGGGTAAAAAATTTCCACTAGCAGTAAAAAAATTCCTGCTACCCCCCTCCCCTTGCAACAACAGCTGACTTTAGCTTCTATACAGACAGCTTGCCTTGCACACCCTGTGCACCCCGAACAAAAACATGGTTTTGCAGCTTAAATGCCTTGCTCCCCCTAAGCTCGGGGCCATGGGTTGGAGAGACATGAGTCCTCTGTGGCCACTGGCAATAAAGACCCTGCAATTTGGCACACCTTTGTCTTAGTGTTAATTTTCTGTGCTCTCTGGTGCAACAGTATTTTGCTTTTGAACTGCATTAGGAGACAAGATACCACCACCCTCTATCTGGAGGCACCTGAAAACTCGCAGAACATTTTTTTACCGGATATTTTCCTAGAGTTTATTTTGAAATCCAAAGTTGAACTAAGATTCCCAGAGAAATTTCTTCACTCTCCCCCAATTCTGAGAGCTACGAATGCTCTTTTCAGTGTAGAGACTCTTCTCCATTCAACGTTTCAGACTCCCAGGGTATATTCACCAGACTATTTGACCCTCACCACCTAGCATTTACTGATCCCATTGACTCTTGAAACAACTAACTTGACCCTCTACTTGGGGAAATTCTCTGGCTTTCTGCCCACACTCTTAGGATTTGGGACTGATTCCTGGCTGTACATCCACCAACCACATTGAGAATCTATCTCCAAATTTATCTTCATATTTTAGTCAGATTTGACTCAGTGATGCTTGCTCATACTGAAAGAGTTTAAAGCCAAACCTCTTTTTGACACAGGTTGTATGAGCAACAACAAAGTCATTAAGGAAACTGGCAGAAACAAAAGATTATGGCTTACAAGAAGAGTTCAAGGAAAAGGAACTATTACTTCTCTGTGCCTGGGGCTCAAGAAAGGTAATGGATTATGACTAGGAGTCAGAGAAAAGGAGAGAAATCCTTTGGCAAAATGTTGACATGGGTTATTTTTGTTGTTGTTGTTCTGCCATTAACACGTTTTATTACCAGATTCCTTGCAACACACATTTTTTGTTCAGCACTTGTCTAATACATGATATGCTATGAAGGTTCTTTCATTTCTACCCTTCAATAGATAACAGGAGGGCAGAGAGCTGATTCCATTCCCTTTCCCTAGAACCCCCTGCTATCTCATGAGATATAATTGAATGTTCTAGAATAGGGGGTTCCATGGTCAGAAAAATATTAAGGTAAAAGGACACACTGGGTTAAACAAAGCAAAATTAATCGAGTTTCTTTGCTGTAAGACTTAGGAACTTTATCATTCTAATATGTGCTAAGATTCGAAGAAAGTTTGTTGCAAGCTCATGTGGCCAGAAACCATTTTGTCAGAGGAACATCTATTAACACCTTGATGTTCAGTTTGAAAGACACTTCCCAGTGGCTCACGCCTGTAATCACAGCACTTTAGGAGGCCGAGGCGGGTGGATCACGAGGTCAAGAGATCGAGACCATCCTGGTCAACATGGTGAAACCCCGTCTCTACTAAAACTACAAAAAATTAGCTGGGCATGGTGGTGCATGCCTGTAATCCCAGCTACTCAGGAGGCTGAGGCAGGAGAATTGCCTGAACCCAGGAGGCGGAGGTTGCGGTGAGCCAAGATCGCGCCATTGCACTCCAGCCTGGGTAACAAGAGCGAAACTCTGTCTCAAAAAAAAAAAAAGACACTTCCCTAAACGTTCCCCCAAAGCATATCATATCTGAAATGTAGGCTTTCAATAAATATTTGGTGAATGAGAGCCCAAATCTTCAAAATTACCCAACAAAATCCTTTCCACAGTGTTTCTGTATCAGAATATGCAAATAGCTTCATGAACCTATTTTTCTCAGGTCAACAAAATGTTTACAGGCAGTAAACGGATGACTTTGGTCCCAAATCTAGTGCCAACTAGTCAAAAAAGAGGACAGGCATTTTCTAATCAATTATACCCAACCCAACATTCTTGACAATTTCAGTTGGCTTGTTTTCATCTCAGAGAAGATGTCAAACAGAAGGCATTTGAGCATGTACTAGTTAAGAACCCAGCAGAAACCCCCTAGAAAGTCTTAATGTGACAAGAGGAATGTCATCCAAAATAACCATAGACAAAAGCACAGCAAAAGTCCGGCAGAAGCCAGCTATCAAGGGAAAAACCACAGAGAACACTCTTGGTCTTTGGCCCTACTTCTAGACTTACTTTTGGGACTTCCAAATTATTTGTTTGAAACTAATTCCTTTGAATAACTATTGAACCTTCCCAATTTTCTGATGAAGAGAGATTCTTTCATGCTTTGTTGAGCTTTGTCAAAAACCAAAATTGTGATTAAGCAACAAGCTTGATGCATTCTTCCAAAACTGCATCAACTGGTTGTCTAACTACATTGGTTGGTTGGTTTGGTTTCCAATCAATATAGCTTGAGTAACATGAACAGTCACTATTTTCCCCTCTGAGTATTTTCCTCAGGTTTTTCTGTGTTACTATGTTTCTTTATAGTGTGAAATTGTTTGTTCTGTTCTTTCCAATGGAAAAACAATGCCCATTTAAGGTTTTCCCCTACTTCAGAAAACTTTGTTTTCCTGATTTTGTTTCACACGTTTGGAAGTTTATACCACAAATAGCATAGTTATATGTAGCCTTGTTTTGTGTTCTAACAGTTATCACTCTGGTCTCCCCAGCATGTCTGATTATCCTGCGGTGCCTTCAGGATAAAGTGCAGATGGCTTTGTTCCAATACGGAGGCCTGGGTGTTGTCATCTTAATACTCCATCTGATAACAGGTCAGTTTTAACCCTGACACTTGTATACTGTACCCAAGTATTCAAGAAACTTAGCATGAAAGGAGAGTCGGGAGAAAGAGTAAGACCAGAAGTTAGGTTGCAGAAACTGGGACACATAGGATTTGGGATAGCTAGGATTCTAGATCAATATGAGTACATTTGTCATCACTGGACAGCAGGATCACATATCTGGGAAAGTGGCAAAGCTGTCTTTCCTCTACCTACTTTTTAAAATCCCTCCACCTTTATCCCATACTCTTCCCCCAGTTGCTCCCTGCACCCATGCCTCTGCTTACTGCAGATTGAAGAGATTCTTCAAGGGAATCTTGGCTTCCCAGATTCAAGTGATTGTCCTTCCTCAGCCTCCTGAGTAGCTGGGGCTACAGACATGCATCACCACATCCAGCTATTTTTTGTAATATTTTTAGTAGAGACAGGACTTCATTATATTGGCCATGCCAGTCTCAAACTCCTGACCTCAAGAGATCCACCCTCTTTGGCTTCCCAAAGTGCTGGAATTACAGGTGTGAACCACCGTGCCCGACCCTTTTTACTGAAAGGTTTTTTTGTTGTTCTGTCTCTTCCTGAAATACTTGCTTTAGATGATTGAGTTTCGGCATTCTTTTCTAAGATGGGCGTTTAAGGTTGTCTTTTGTTTGACTTGGCTATATCTTGATGTATCATTTTCATTGTTTGGTTAAAATATTTTCTGACTTCCTTGACCCATGGGTTTTTAGAAACATTAATTTCCTAAGTCCAATCATTTTTTTTGCTAGTTATTTTTGTTTTTGGTTTCAAGCTTAATTTCATTCCTGTTTGAATACATAGTATCAAATATTTGCCTTTTTGAAATTTGACTTTCTTTATAACTTAAACACATGTCTATTTTGCCAAATATAGTGTGCTTGGAAAACAATTTTTCTTGTAGACTATCCTATATAGGTCAGTTTGTATTTAACATGTTCATATTATCTCTATTCAATTTTATCTGCTTATTAGAGACTATTGAGTAAAATCTCCAGCTGTAATTTTTTTTAAACAGTCTTGCTCTGTCCTCTAACACTGTTACCCAGGCAAGAGTACAGGATGTAATCTTGTGTTACTGCAACCTCTGCTTCCCAGGTACAAACAATTCTTGTGCCTTCACCTTTCGAGTAGCTGGCACTACAGGCACATGCCACCATGCCTAGCTAATTCTTTTGTATTTTTAGTAGAGATGGCCATGTTGGCCAGGCTGGTCTCAAACTCCTGGCCTGAAGTGATCTGCCAGCCTCAGCATCCCAAAGTGCTGTGAGTACAGGCCTAAGTCTCCACACCTGGCCTCCAACTGTGATGTTGAATTTGTCAGTTTCTTCTTTCATTTTATTTTTTTACTTTTAATAACATCTCCATCTTCTAACAAAATCTATTTCTAGCAACGCTGTTGGCTTCAGGTTTACTTTGTCTTACATTAGAATAGTTATATCGGCTTTCTTGTGGTTAGTGTTGCAGGATATAGCCTTTTCTGTATTTTTACTCTAGCCCTCTGTGCTTCACCTTTTAAAGCTTAAACTTTGTAAGGAGCATATAATTGGATTTTTGTTCTGTATACACTAACAATTTCTGCTTTTTAATTGGAGTCTTTAGTTCCATTATATTTAATGTAATTACGGATATATTTGGGCTTAAATCAATCATCTGATTTTGTTATATCAATTTTTATTCCTTGCCTTTTGAATTAAGCATTTTAAAGGTCATTTTTCTATTTTCTCCCTTAATGGTGGTTTTAGTGGTTAGACATTTCAAGATGCATTCGTAATGTATGAGTCTTCCTAACATGAGTTTTCACTGCTTCCCATGTAATCTGACGGCACTTCAATGCTTTTTACCATTCCTCATTGCCTTCTATGCTATTTTTTTCTGTTGTATTATAACTCTTTATATTTTTAAACCACAAAAGATGTTATAATTGTTTTTCTCAGAGTTTAGATTTTCTCGCTTTCCCTCCCTCACAGTGATCTTCAGTCCTTCCTGCACTATTTTGCTTCCATTTAAGGTATTTTCTTTTTCTGCATAAAGTGTTCCTTTTAGTATTTTTTTTAATGCAAGTCTCCTGGAAACAAATTCTCTCATTTTTTTTTGTCTAAATCTGTCTTTATGTTGCTTTATTTTATGAGGATATTGTCACTATATATAGAATTCTAAATTGGCGGTTATCTCCTTCCAACTCTTCAAATATATTAATCATCTTTTTGGATTCTGGCATTCAGCATTTCTGTTGAAAAGTCAACTGTCAATCTCATTGTTTTGAAGGAGGGTGTCATTTTCTGCCTATTAAAGATTTTTCTTTGTAGTTTGATTTTTGTCAGTTCAAATACTTTGTGTTTAGATGTGGTCCTTTGTGTAATCCTGCTTGGGGTTTATAGCACTTCTTGACTCTAAGCTTGATATCTCCCAACTTTTGGAAAAAATCCTGGCCAATATTCCTTCAGATGCGTTTTGTTTCCTTCTGTCTCTCTTCCTGAAACTCCAGTTACGTGTACTAATACTTTTCACCACCTGCTATATATTTACACTCATTCTATATTTCCAATTTTGTTCTCTGTATAATTAGAGATGAATATTTTCTACTAACCTGTATTTCAGTTTAGTGATCCATCTTTATTCCATGTTTAATCTGCTTAATATCTGATGTTGCATTTTTAAGTTGTAGAATTTCTCCACCATTTGGTCCTGCTTTTATTGTTTACTTTTCTCTTGGCTTTTGGACATTTGGTCCTATTTAGGGATTTCTAATTTTTCATTGAATGCAAAACACTGTACATGAACAACTTGTAGGATCTTAATATTTTGTGATCTTAAATTTCTCATAAGTCACTTATAGGTGACTCAGCCTAAAGTGAAACTGTTGACCCCTCAAAGTGATAAATGGGCATGGTGGACTGAAATGATAGGATACCTCCTGCTATGATCAGGCATCCCAAAGACCTGACAAGAATGTGAATCCAAAAGTCAGCCGAGATCATGGCTAATGGATACTCCTGTACAGGGTCATTAAAAACTGCAAAGAAACTGGCAATGGCAAAAAGATGCCTGCAGAAGCTCTGCCCATGAAAACTGATACCTCTTTTTCGTAGGCAGCAGCTGCTGTAAGCACTACTGGGAAAGAGTGGCAACACTCTCTGCCACCTTGGGAAAGCCAGACCCACTCAGTTGGTCAGTAAGTGTGCTGGTGTCCTGAGCTACACACTGTGGTTAAGTTTTCCCTCTCAGTACTGCCTGTGGGTATTGAATATATTTGTATGACTGTTGTTGGGTGAAAGCCTCATAATAAGCCATGTATTTTGAAGGCTTTTAATCAGTCAAAAAGTCATTGTGAAACCTCCTGGCCCGCAGTTGGAGTTAGCACAACGAAGCTGAGTTGAACCTGATACAAGAGGTCTCTGGATGAAGTAACATTTCTCCCTGGAAGTTGAAATTTTTTTCTGACAGGCAAATAGACTACGTGAAAATCAGCTTCATCCAGTTGCAGCTGGACTTAAAGCTTTGGTAGAACTAGTTTGGGGCTTAATAAAGATAGCCTCAAATTCTTTGACATTCCTTTTGTTGAGTTGCTCCTCCTCTAACTGGGCTCTGGAACTGCTTTGATAAATCTAATATGGCCGAAGTGTTACTGCACCTGGAACTCCAAGTTCTTCGGCTCTCTGCTAAGCAGAAATTTTCTCAGTCTAGGTTTACTGCTGAGCTTCCCAAGGGAGCAGCATACTAGATAAGGGCTCCTGGTGCTAGCTCCTGCAGGTGCCAGGCTCTTCTCGTTTTAAGGAAGCTGACATGGGGAAAGTTGCCGCCGGCTGGCCTGATTAGGTGGGACTTTCCCTGTGCCTGCGCAAGGGGATGTCATGCCTTGACAGGCCCATGTACAGAAAAGGGTGGATAGCCCCTCCTTGGGCCGAGATTTTAGTATTACAATGAGATAGTGAGAAGAAAGTCATGAAAGGTCAATGCTGGATTTCATCTTGTCTTCACCAGGCTGGATCTGGTCCAGTTCCTCTAAGGAATATGAGAGTCCGGATTCAGCAAACTTGGAAGACATTACTCAGTTAAATGGTTAGGTTCTTCCTTTTATGGTTTGGATTTCAGCCTGATCAGCTAAGTTAGGAGAGACTATGTGATCTGGGTAGTGGGAAGGCTCGGGGTTGAGGGGGAATATATCTAAGACATGTGAGACCCATTGGGATCTTGGTTACCAAGTTTCTTGTCTGCCAGGATAGTCTCTTCTCCATACTGTCAGAAGTGATGCTGTGCCAATTTTTGGTCCAGGTCTTAAGAGACTAGCCTTGTCTTTTGAAAAGCCCACTCTGGAGGAAGCCAGTCACTATGTGAAGTCCAGCTACACTCAGACTTCCATGCTGTGAAGAAGCCCAAACCAGTCATGTAGAAAAGACTTCTATAGAGATGAATGCTTGACTACTCAGCAGCTTTTTTATATAGTCTTACTCTCACTCTGTCACCCAGGCTGGAGTACCATGGTGCGATCTCGGCTTACTGCAACCTCCGCCACCCAAGTTCAAGCAATTGCCCTGCCTCAGCCTCCTGAGTAGCTGGGATTGCAGGCCCCCACCACCATGCCCGGCTAATTTTTGTATTTTTAGTAGAGACAGGGTTTCACCATGTTGTCAGGATGGTCTCAATCTGTTGACCTTGTGATCTGCCTGCCTTGGCCCAAAATGCTGGGATTACAGGCGTGAGCCACTGCACCTGGCCACTCAGCAGCTATTTTAAACCTCCCAGCCCAGGCTCTAGGCACTTGAGTGAAAAAAACATTCGAACAACTGCAGTCTCAATATCTGGCTGCACATGAAGACTGCTGACCTACCCAGCTGAGCCTGCCAACCCCCAAAATGATGAAAGATACTAAGTTTTCTTAAATCTCTAAATTTTGAGATGCCTTACAAAACAGTAACTGATAATGGGAACATGGTCTACTAGAGAGCAGCTTTTAACGCAATGGCGCAGCCCTT